TCAGGTCCAGGCAAGCTGGCGTGTGCTGGTGTGTGTTAGTGTGTGTTGGTGTAAGTTGGTGTGTGTTGGTGTGTGTCTGGGTGTGCTGGTGTGTGTTGGGGTGTGCTGGTGTGTGTTGGGGTGTGTAGGCGTATATTGATGTGTATTGGCGTGTGTTGGCGGGTGTTGGCATGAATTGGCGTGTGTTGGCGTTTTTTGATGTGTGTTGGCGTAAGTTGACGTGTGTTGTCATGAGTTGGCGTGTGTTGTTGTGATGTGTGTTGCCGTGTGTTGGTGTGTATTGATGTGTGTAGCTGTGTGTTGACATGAATTGGCGTGCGTTAGCGTGTTTTGGCATATATTGATGTGTGTTGGCGTGTATTGACAAGTGCTGGTGCGTGTTGTGTTGGTGTGTGTTGGCGTCTGTTGGGGTATACTAAAGTGTGTAGGCGTGTGTTGGCGTATATGGATGCGAGTTGGCATGCGTTGGCGTGAGTTGGTGTGTGTTAGCGTGAGTTGGTGGGTATTGGTGTATATTGATGTGAGTTGGCGTGTGTTGGCGTATATTGATGTGAGTTGGCGCGTGTTGGCGTTATTGATGTGAGTTGGCGCGTGTTGGCGCATGTTGTTCCCTACACTCCGAGGGCAGTGTGGCCAGATCCTCAGCACAAAGGCCACAGGGTGGGTCTACTGCAAAGATGAAGGGTCTCGGCTGCTGCTGTACAACGGTATTTCTATCACCCACCACCCCCGAGACAAGTGGGGAAAGAGCTCATGTAGTCCACGTACAACCAAAAACTTCCAGGATGGTGGTGCGTCTTTGCTTTTGTACTCATCAACAACAAAAATTATTAATTTTTTTACAATTATAGAAAGTAGGTCAGATATCCCTCAGGTTTGTACGTGAACAAAACAACCATTGCAACACTTTAGTACCACACTCGTACACAATCGCTCCGCCTGTCCCTGAATGTTGTTTTTTAACTCTGCAGACACATCAAAGCATTCTAAGATTTACAATTGTATTTGTAAGCTCAAGCAAGCACTTATACACATGCACTCCTGCTCAAAGGTTAAAATTCTTTAAAAATCAGCAACAAAACTCAGGGCACTGTCTCATCCCAAGCTTATGGACAAGACTATATGAATTACTCAAGCTAAAATGGAGTCTCAGCCAGACTACAGCACGGAGAAAGAGCGACAACTGTTACAGTGGCCCTAGGCAAAGCGTCGAGCTTTCCACCGAGGGCTGAGCTCCCACACACGTAGCTATGCATGCACCACGAGTTCCAAGAACAATTAATATCTCATGATTTCCCTGTAACCACCTTGTACATGTTCATGAAAGAACCATCACAAGCTGAGCACGCTCATGCCCCACCATCAGCCACACGCCGAGAGGGAAGCAACAACACTTTACACCAGCCCTGCTTCAGACTTTGAAAAAAACAACTGTCTATTCACTTTCAAAATCTGATCGAGACAACGATGGAAAAGAAATGAGGGAGTGAAAAAAGAGTTCTTGCTATTTACTTTTTAAAACATGTCCTATTGTCGTGCTATTCAATTACCTTTACACTTTACGTGTATCAACCATTACCATAACCCCCCCCCCCCCCCCCCAAAAAATAGGAAAACCTTTTGTTACAAGCATAATTTACATTTCTTAACAGCTGAAAAAAAGTTATTTAAACAGAGTAACCTAGCAGGAAGCCTTTTTTAAAAGGGGCTGCCGAGCAACTGGGTAGGAAATTAGCAAGATACTAAAAACAAAATTGGCACAAAAGACACAAACAGAGGTTGGCACATTTTTTTGAGAACCAGGCTTCAACTGAAAGACTTATAAAAAAGTCACACACACCATTAAACTATGAAATAAAAAGTGTGTGGTTATGAACTGGGGCTGGTTTGCTAAAGGATAAGCCGAATAAAAGAAGCTAAAAAGCATCCGATGACCCCCTTTCCTGAATGGCAGCCAGCACAAGAAACTTGCATTCCTCTTCACAAAAAAATTAAAATGCTCCTTGTTTTATCAAATCTTATCCAAAAGAAATCAGCACAACACCAGTCAACACATTTGAATGATGTCAGGCATTATCACCAGCAACAAAACTTCATTTACAGCACACCAACAAAAGACAGTATTTTATGAACCTCTTTCCGACAATTGCATCAACAGAATTGGGACTCAGAAGATTCCAATATAATCTGACCATACTGCAAATGAAGAGAGCAAAACAAGGCATGTGATAGTTCTCCAACCAGCACCAATTTTTTGTTCATAGTTGAATAATCTCGTAGTTTCAAAAAAAAAAAGAAAGAAAAAAGAAGTAAAATGTGAAAGATTAGGAGCACAACACGAATTCCTTTCCATCTCCTTTCACTTTGTGAAGTTTTTGTTAGTTCCCTGGTATCCACTACAGAATGCACGACCGGATAGTGAGAAATCCACGCTTGGCTAGGAGCAGACACAGCCACAAAGTCAGTCAATGCGTTGTGTTCTCCGTGCGGTCAGGATCTCTGGTGATCCCCTGTGTGTGTCTGAGCCTGCTCCAGCAGCTTACCCCTCGTCCAGCCAGGAGAGACAATGGAGAGAGAGAAGAAGATGCAAAATGTGGGGAGAGTAGAGTAGAGAGGATGGGTCAAAGAGGAATTACAATGTACAAAAGAAGTATGTAGCATCACTGGGTCTGATATGCTGAGCAAAGAATAAAAACAAATGTATTTACTCATTCTCTCATGCTTTAGGCATGTTGTACAATTCTGGCTTCAGGTCAGGCCCTAGCATTCATGTCTGGTAGGAAACATCAACAGAGAATGTCTGAGAGCTATTGCACAACTCTGCTCCGAAAAAAAATCCACTGAATTTTTTTCCCACACTGGCACTGGTCTTCAGAAGGAAAAGCAACACAATTCACCTGGTGAGTGTCGGACAACACCGAGCGGGGCTGCAGCACTTCACCGAGAGCAGATCCAGCACTTAACCCACAGCAGATCCAGCGCTTAACCCCCAGCAGATCCAGCACTTCACCCACAGCAGATCCAGCACTTCACCCACAACAGATCCAGCACTTCACCCACAGCAGATCCAGCACTTCACCCACAGCAGATCCAGCACTTCACCCACAGCAGATCCAGCACTTCACCGAGAGCAGATTTCAGCACTGTCTCTTCTCGTTGTCTTGGTCAAGAGTTCCTCCAAACACCATCAGGTAAAGAGTAACCGACGGGCGCAGTGCTGCAGCGTTTGCCGGTCATCACTCGGTAGCACCACCAACAAAGGACGGTGTGTGTGTGTGTGTGTGTGTGTGTGCGTTGTGTGTGTGTGTGTGTCCAGCGACACAGGGATGGGGGAGGAGGGCGTCTCCCCGCGTCACACATGTCACACGTGTCTCGTGGTCGTGAAAAGAAATCCTTCACACGATGAGCCGTACGGAAGAGAGCCGGCAGCTGGGTGGGAGTGCGCGGGCCAGCCAGTTACCCTGAGTATTACGCCACTAATCGCAGCTCACCTCCTGTTGGCACGGCAACCATCCACGCGATAACGAACAAATCAAACACTCTCTTACGAGAAGGACGACGCCCAACACGACGTCACACGACTCTCCGCTAGGAGCTGGGGGGGGGGTGTCAATGTGTCGTCAGTCCAGAAGCCATTTCCTCGGCAGTCTCATGGACGCTGTAAGGACTGAGAAAATCCCGCCCCCGGTAGACTGGCCAAGAACATCCAAGCACACAGGCGTCGTCAGCGTCGGGAGGAGAGAAGCACTGCTCGGTGCCCGACCCACCAACAAGGAGACGAACCACTCCATTTGTCAACAAGAGAGAGAGAATGCAGTAGTGATAATATCTTGTGGTAACAACAACAGTTGGGGGTGGGGGTGGGGCGGCTGAAATCTTGAGATGTAAAAGGGGTAAAAAGAGGGAGAGGGTGCGCTCTAGTTGCCTTCTGGGGGGAGTAGTAAGATATCCTTGATAAGAGAAGGCACATCCATTTGCACCTTTTTCACGTCCATCTCCACCAGAAGCTTCGAATGCTCTGAGCTAATAGTCCGCAGATCTGAGAGGCGAGAGAGGAAGCGCGCTAGAGCACCCCCGCCCTTTCCCCGTTTGGCCGTCTCGTAGACTTGAAGCAGCTCCACGTACTGGTCTTGAATCTCCTCCACCTTGCTCGCTTGCTCCAGGCCTGGTCGCTCTGTGGGGGACGGAGAGAAGGAGAGTTTAGTTTTAGTTTTAGTAAGTGTTTTACGGCACTTGTAACACAGTAAGGTCATATAAGACCTTAGAGATTAGAGGAGTTACAAGAGAGCAACAAACACAAAATTGAAGAAGGTGAGGTAAAGACGATCGACGTTTGATTTGATAAGAAAGAAAAGGTAGCAAAGCACACTAGAGCACCCACCAATCAACCACATAGAGACGGGGGGGGGGGGGGTGCGTTGGAGAGAGATTAGAGAGAGACAGATGGGAGGAACAAAGAGAGAGAGAGAGAGAGAGATAAAGAGAGAGATAAAGAGAGAGAGAGCAAGGGAGAGGGAGAGAGAGAGAGGGAGAGAGAGAGAGAGAGAGAGAGAGAGAGAGAGAGAGAGAGAGAGAGAGAGAGAGAGAAAGAGAGAGAGAGAGAGAGAGAGAGAGAGAGAGAGAGAGAGAGAGAGAGAGAATTAACAAAGCAATCCCAATCAACAAAGACAACTAACCTGAAAAGATGCAGATAGCCGTGAGCAGAGCGTACTCTGCGTTGTCCGTCTTACATGAGGCCATATTGTGGCAGAACTCAAAGAGACGCTCGCAGTAGTTCCCCAGGCCTGCGTGGGCGGCCTTCATGTTCTGCAAACTACATGGCTGCCCGTTGGCAAAAATGATGCACTTGGACTGAAGGTCGTAGCAGCGGGCAGCCCTGATGGACATGACTTCTGTCGTTGAAGACTGAGGAGAGAAAGGAAACATGAAAGTCTTCATCCCATTGTAAAGCTATCATTATCACGACACAATCAACAGATTCGATAAGATCTTAACTGCCATTAAACTAGAAAGACAATGGGTACAGCTTTCTCTTCCTCTTATATCCCCCCCCCACAACAAAACAACATAATAATACTGAGCTCTTGAAGAACTTAAGTAAAAGTTCACTCTTCTAAACATTTACCAACAAATCTGGCCCCCCCTCCCCTTCCCACAACAAAACAACATAGTAATACTGAGCTCTTGAAGAGCTGAAGTAAAAGTTCACTCTTCTAAACATTTACCAACAAATCTGGCCCAAAAATTGATATCTTGTAAGTCACCCTCCACAATTTATTTCAAAAACAAAGTTTCTCATTCAAAATATTTACCTGTCTATTGAACCAATTCTTGAATTGACCCAATTTTAAAACAACTTTCATAGGTCAAAAAGAAAATCTAAAACAGTTGGACCTGTTCTAATGGTCACCTGCCTAAGACAACCGGTACAAATAACCACTTCCCACTTCTTCCTTTGCGGTTTAAAAAAAAATTACGACACTGTTCAAGACATCCACCACTCTAAATTTAGTTTTAGTAAGAGTTTTACCACACTTGCAACACAATAGGGTCATATAAGTGCCGAAGATTAGAAGCGTTACAAGAGATTAACAAATACAAAAAAAGGAGGAGAGATAAGGATGATAGATGTTTGACAGAAAAGGAGAAAACCACCCATCCACCTGTCTAAGACAACGACTTTTCTCCTCGATAATGGGTGGGGCAGTCTTGGCATGGACAAATTCGACTGTACGAAAGGTAACGTCTTCAAAAACAAACTCCAACTCATCTAAAATCAAGAAAAGCAACCCCCCAGAAACGATACAAAACGGACACGTTTAAAAAGAGCTGACCTTGAGCAGCGTGATCTGATCTTCCTTGCACACATCCACAAAATGCGGCAGCTCCTTGGCAAACTGCACTATGAGCTTGGTCACCAGCACAAACGTTGACGCCATCGAGTTCATGAATGTCTGAGGGTCCAGCGTGCTGTTTGTCTTGTAATCAAACTCTTTCTGCAAGACAGAAGTAAAAGAAAACGTGACCAGATGCTCATTTCAGTGTCCAAGTGATAAAAACAATGGTGGTAATAATACTTTCTGCAAGACCGAAGAGAAAAAAACAAGACCAGATGCTCATTCCCGTGCCAAAGAGATAAAAAGCAATGATGGTAATAATACTAATGGGAAAAATAAATAATTATACACATACAAAAACACCAACATAATTAATTGAACAACATACTACACTACCTTTGAGCCCTGACCCCCCTGAGGTCACCGTGCCCCTCTGCCTGAGCTCCTGGGCGATATATTACAAACATTCATATAGTCGCTTGTCATTATGTTAGTGTTTTAGCGCCTATAAATGGCTGCTTGCACTGTACGCTTCCTAGGAAGTGGAGTTTGTTTCAGAATGCTCTAAGGTCTGCTGGGGTAAGAGTATAGATTGTGAAGCGCATAGAGCTTGCTGTTGAGCGGGGATTTGCGCTATATAAATGCTATCTATTATTATTAAGCACAAGGGGGCTATCCCGAAAAATGCTGTTTTGAAAAAATCAAAGGTAAAGTTTTTGCCCCTTGTTCAGTTTCTTTAAAAGACAAGGAGAGTTTTCTCTATACCAAACAAATATACACACCAATGAAACCAAACTTCTCCTTTAGGTAGGGCAATGCCCACTTTTGGTGTAGGTCAAGATTTCTGGAAACCCCAGATACCTGGGTTAGCCCATTTGTCCTTAAAAAAGCGACCAAAGGTACCCCAATTACTACGGGGTTCTTCCACTTTTTTCTCCTTCCTCGTTCTCGATGGTTCTTCCACTTACCAGCGTCTTCTCGTAACTGTCGGGGTCAGCAAACTCGTACTTGTCCTGCAGCGAGACCAGGAACACGATCCTCTCGTGCTGGTCCGAGTGCAGCCTCTTCATGATGTCGGGCATCTCCTCCGTGACGGAGGACGGGGAGCCCACGCTGGACGAGGTGGACGGCACCGAGGGAAGGGACGGGAGGGAGGACAGCGACGGCTTCACGTCCACCGACAGCACCGTCTGCTTCGAGTCCGAGTCCATGCTGTTGCCGAAGCTGTCCGGGCTGTGCACCTCTTTCTTGGGCACGAAGCGCTGCTTGGCCTTCCGTCGGGCGTCCCGTGCTTTGCACTGGTCTTCCGACAGGAGGCCTGGTTTTAGAAACAAACAAAAATTCAATTTAGTTTTAGTAAGTTTTTTACAGCACTTGCAAAACAATAAGGTCATATAAGTTACTCTCTTGTAATACCTCTAATCTTCAGCAAACACAAAAAAGAAGTAGGAGAGATAAGGATGATAGATGTTTGATAGGAAAGAAGAAGCAAACCACACCAGAGCACCCGCCAACCACCCACAAAATTCAATTTATCTACCTTGAAAATTATTGGGGTGGGGGTGGGAGGGTGGAGTGTTGTTAAAGTGCAACTGTACCATTAAAAGGACAATGCCGTCGAAAAGACTGTGCTACTTAACCCTATCCGTACGTCGTGTTTTACTATCGTATCCACACAACGGGGGGACTCTGTGCCACCACTTTCCAAAGAGGAAATTTACTCGTTAATCCGATCCGTACGCTTTGCATAGTAGTCTGTCAAAAGTTTCAAAGAGATCTTCGTACCAGAAGTATTCTAAAATATGAAGAATACAACCCCGGGTGTACAAAATGACCCCAGGGAGTACGGATAGGGTTAATTGAAAGACAGAGAATAAAATGGTTTGGCCACCTGTTACGCATGTCACCTGGCCAGTCAGCCTCGTGAGCCTACAACACCAAGTACTCAGGCTATAAAGGAAGAGGAAGGCCATGCAAAAGGTGGATCAAGGGTGTCAAGGAAACCCTGAGAAAACATAATATCAAAACAGAAAGAGCTGTGGAGCTGGCCTACCATGGAAAACTGCATCTCCCATCGACGCTTAACGGCAACAGAGTATGAAAAAGTAAAAGTAAAGCAAGTATTATCAATCCTATGAGGATGATCATTCTCACATTCTTCCTTCATGCCCACTTCGCGACATCTCCGTAACCGACAGGCCTGGCACTTGCGCCGCATCCACATGTCCATTTCACAGTTGTCCCCATACTTGCATACATAGGCCGCCACTTTGGTGATGCTGCGACGGAAAAATCCTGCCGACAGAAAAAAGATTATGTTTTAGTAAAAATTTTACGCATGGCACTTGCAACACACTTAGGGCAAGTAAGTGCAGGAGATTAGAAGTGTTACAAAAGTGTAACAAAAATAAAAATGAAGGAGTGGAGATCAGGACGATAGATGTTTGATAGGAAAGAAGGAGCAAATCACACCAGAGCATCCACCCACCAACCAACAACCGACACAGAAACAGAGCATGTGAGCAGTTTGTTTCTTTTCTTTTTCTTTCTTTTTGGTAACTCGACATAAGAGAATCAAATTCATAAAACAATGGTTATAACTAAGAGCTGTGGAAAAAGCAAGGCAGGTCAAAACAAAATACGTCTGACCAGTGGCGTGGCGCCATTGGTGCAAGCGCTCCACCTAACCCTGGCCTTCACCCCCCACCCTTTTCTAGTTGTTTTAAACCAGTCAGTGCTCTAGGCCAAGATCTAAATTACAAACATAAAAAAGAAGGCGGAGAGATCAGGACCATAGATATTTGATAGGAAGGAAGGAGTAAACCACACCAGAGCACCCACCAAAATCCCCAAAGTCATTTAGGGCTGGGGAACATTAAAGCAAGACAACAAAAGAGATCAAGTGAAGAAGTAAGGCCTATAAGTGGCGCCTTCCAACAACCCCTCGCAAAATAAACCAAGATAACAAATTATGAGGAGACATGAGAAAAAACACTACAAAATACATTAGTGTCAGCTTTTGGAAGCTCAGTTGTTTAAAAGTCAGAATGTTAAGTGTTCTCAAAACAGACAGACAGACAGACAGACAGACAGACAGACAGACAGACAGACAGACAGACAG